AAAACTTCTTCACCGAAAGGGCTGTCAGGCCCTGGCCCAGGCTGCCCGGGGCAGGGGCTGAGTCCCCATCCCTGGGGGTATTTAAAAGCCAGGGAGATGTGGTGCTGAGGGCCATGGTTTAGTGGTGGGCTGGGCAGTGCTGGGTTAACGGTTGGACTTGATCTTAAGGTCTTTTCCAACGCAAACGATTCTGTGACTCTCTGTGGTGGGTCAGCAGAGGTGCAGGCCCTGCCCCACAGGGGTACAGGGCAGCCAGCCCAGCCCCACTGGGCCTGGTAAGGAAAGCGTGCAATTTTCTTCTCTTCGCAAAAGCTGAAGTAAAAAAAAAAACACAACCAAAAAAACCCAAAAAAACCCCACCCAACCTAGACATAGACAGCATCCACTGCAGATCTGCCATGGTGCTTACTGAAGCCTGCGGTGAACAGGGGGGTTGTATTCTGCTGCCTGGGGTGCTGAGTGTCCACATGAACCTCACACAGGTTCTGCTGCTCTGCAAGGCATTTGGCTTCCCAGGGTGGGGCAGCGGTGGGGCTCCAGCTGCTGCAGCCCCCAGGGGGGCCCCTACCACAGCCAGCCAGCGACACCGCCGCGTGGGCTACGTACGCCGATCAAAGTCAGTCCCCTGGGGTTATATTCACAATAATATCAAGGACAATTTGTATAAGAAAAGTGGCAAGTATCGATACGCATCCCTAAGAGCGACAGGGTAGCAGGCCTCCTCACCCCAGCCTCCAGGCTGGAGCCAGAATTGAGTTAAGTGGGTACGATCAGCTAGCATCGAGAAGTCAGTCCTCTGTGAGAAACACCAGACAACTGGAAGGGAAACAGTCCACACAAGCCAGAATAACTTAAAGCAATACCCCCTTAAAAATAATAAAAAAAAATCACAACAAAACCAAAACATGTCCCAGTTTAAAAGAAAAAAAAAAAAAAAGAGAATCCCAGCCTATATTGTTTCCTCTTCCTAGTGCTACAAAACACAAACAGCGCTACGCAGGTAGAACCATAGCAAACATTACGTTATCAGCTCAGTGAAAAGGCACAGAGCCCACTTCTTATCTTTAAGACTTTATCCACACTTCTAAAGAGCATTAACTTTACTGGTGAAATCATGTTGCAAGCTCTTAATTAAAATGCAATTTCTTGAAGAGGGCTCATCTTAGATCAACTTTTTCCAGCATCCCAGTAAAAGCAGGTTGTTTTTCACTTGGAAAAGAATATTATAACTCAACGCTTATCAGCTTTTACAGCTACAGTGCAAATAAAAGTCCAGCCCATAGCTGTGGAAAGTCTACAGCACCAGAAAACAAACAGAAAAGTAAGCCTCTGTTTAGAATAGATCTGAGTGTGGAAATGCACAGTTTGCCTGTGACAAAGGAACTGATAACGTAGTTAAGACCAGTTTATCATAAGGAAGTGCACGAAGGTTTTCAAAACTTTTTTCCAGAGGAGCGGCGAGACAGCTATAAAAGCACTTGCGAGACATTGCAGGCACAGAAGTTGAAATCACATCCTCGCCGAATCAGAAGTAAACTCGTGACAGCAAAACTAAGCTCAGCAGGACGCCGACAGCCTGTTCTGTATTAAGCCATTGCCCGCGGTGCGTATTTCCACCGAGAGGGACAGACTTGGCCTGGGTTACGCTTAAGTCATCTGACAGCAGCCTCTAGTGGCTCCGGGAGTTTCCTGACACATCTGTCCCATCTTCAGCAGGGAACAGGGGAGGACACAAGACAAACCCCAGCGGGGCCAAAGCCCCGTTCTGGGAAAAACAAGCAAACAAACACCCCCACACCCACCCCCCTTGCTTCCAGGGAATCACGGGAGGTACCAGAACAGTCAAGGGATAATCTTTGCACTGTTCCTAGTCACATCACCAGTCTGAGCACACACCGCCTTTTGCAAAGAAAGCCTTGAGTTCGCTTGGAAATAAAAGTACAAGAACCCCACTGTATTTTCTTCAAGCCCATTTTAAAGGCAGTTCCTAACCAACATGTTTTTGTCTGGGCCAAGCAACAAACTCGATCAGCTGAGGGGACTTGAGCATTACACATGGGTACCATTTCGTTAAAATCTGATTTGTGTCATGCCAAATTAGATCATTTGCTTAGTTACCCCTCCGCCCCCAGACTTTCTAGGTGTGTTCCAGCACTGCCAGGGCCCTCGAATGTCTTCCCTGGAACAGGAGTACCAACACCATTACACACAAGAGTTTATCCAGCTGGTAGGACTGGAGGGATTTGGTACGTGGCATCTACAATCACTGTCTTCAAAACACTGACATCAAGTCATACTGGATTTTGTAGGCTATATTGTAGGCAAAAATATATTTCAATGTGAAAGTACAACATTGCAGGATTGCTAGGTTTCAGTACACCTAAAGCTGAGGATTTTGATAAAGCTCGTTTGAAGTGCAGTGTTGATTCAGGAAGAGAGACATGGTATTACAAAATACTTGAAGTGCCACCTCAATATGTGTTCTATTAAAAGTACATTCATTTGGCAATTTTTTTCAGCTTGGCAGAAGTCATCAGAACTCCAGCGGATTAACAGACAGCTAATCTGAAAGCAAAAAAAACCATTTCACAAACTATAGAAAGGCATCAGCATTTATAGCGTTCGGAATAGCATCATTTGCTTAATGATCCACAACCGTACAACGGGGTCCAGGAACACCCTTCCTTCTGTTCCGTGCACAGTAATACAAACGCCAGTATTGTTCTTACTTGCTTTATGGGCCATGCTATGATGCTTTCTTGAAACCTTTTAGAATGGGGTAGATGTTCTCAAATGCCTCATAGATTTCAGAACGCTCTTTTGCTCCTAGAAAGACATTTAGGAAAAAGCAGGTTAAGAATTAACAGAGTGTTGAGAACAACTGAATGCAACTCAAACCTAATGATAAGATTACAAACCATGAAGCAACACAGGAGTTTAAAAGCAACTTACTATTAGTTTAAGGCAGAATTTCTATCATACTTCTGCCACCAATTTCTAGCTTGCTTTGCTGTAAGACTAGACTGGTTTTGTTTAATCTGTGGAACCAAAACAGCAGTTGGCTACTCTTGACAGATACAAAACATCGGCTTTGGGGAAAAAAAAAAAAAACAAACAAACCTCTGAGAAGAGCCATGGTATTATCTGCTCAACAGTAACAGCTCTGCCTGTTGGCGAGGTAAGTGGAAAGATAGAAACAAGAAATGAAGGGCATTTATTTCACTACTGGAAGCTGATCCACAGTTTGAGAACTCCCCTCCTCCAGTTCTGAGGAGCATTTGTATTTTTAAGCTTCATTAGGGCACCTGTGATTTCAAAGCTGGCCTTTTCCATGTTACTGCAAGCAGGTCTTTCATACCAAGCCTTGTACACTAACTGTACTGCAGTAGGCAGGAATATTCCTTGACAGCGACACTACTCTGCCATGCCAGCGCAACAACCGTTTGCCACAAACAACCTGCGTTTAAATGAACTAGCAGTTGTGGCACTCGGGGTGAACGTGTAAACCTTTCCCTCAGAACACACTTGGACACAACTAATTCATCTGCATTACTACAACTTTTACTTTCAAAAGTAAAGTTACTTTCAAGTTACTTTCTTGATAAGGGAAAAAAAAAACCCAAAACCCTTACAGCTAGGCAGATTCCGTTTTGTCATTACAGTCGGGCCCAGTATTCGCAGACAAGGACTCGCCTCAGTCCTTCCAGGCCTTCTGCACTCCCAAGGGTGTTGCAATTAGTGTATCCAAAAATGGGAGTACCAGTGGAATGGAACTGGCCAGATTTTACTGGACCCAAGAAGAAGGTGGGGGGACATTGGAGGGGGAAGCATTCAAGCTTTGTATGAGTGCCCCGTGCTTCAGTCAGCCAAGCTCATTCGTGATTTACGATTGTAAGAATCTCTGGCTAAAGGCAAGCGCTTCTCTTTTGTCTTTCAGGTCCCTCAAAGCTGCGTTGTGAATATACATATAGCATTTGGGTCCTCTGGGAACAAGTACCATTACCTTTCAATACATCTGAATAAAAGCATTTTAGTGAGCTTTAAAAAAAAAAAATGCTTTAGGAACACGCACTCAGGAATTCAACTTTTTTGACACGGGATCTGAGGTGCAGATACCTGCTGAGCAGACTTACTCAGCAAGGCTTTTGCCTCATGAGTGTTTTGCCAAACAGTCTGGAACGAGTTGTTAGATCTCCACCCTTTCCTCTAATAATCCCTACTAAATGTTGTCAGTGAAGTGTTTTAAGAAGTTTGCTTCCTGTCCAAACAATTTTAAATGGCTTATCGTGACATTCGTATTTAAGTGACTGAGTAGTTGCTAGCATGTCAGCATCCTGGTGGGATTCTGTACACTGACACACGGAATTATACTTTGAATAAAGATACTCAAGTTTAACGACGTGGAAATCTGAGACACTATATGAAGCAACGAAGAATTCTAGTGCAACAATACTGATATTGTTATCTGCAGAAAACACAGATAAGCAGCAGTAGGCATTAAAAAAGATCACCGAGTGGCTTTACTGTGGCAAGATATTAGTTTAGCTGATGTTCAATTTAAACACTTTCCCAGAAGATGTGGTAGCACTTGATTACAGATACACAGAGGGAGACCACTTACCAGTCAGTACAACTTTCCCCGACACAAAGATAAGCAACACTATCCTTGGTTTGACCATCCTATAGATAAGGCCAGGAAACAGTTCAGGTTCATAGCTGTTTCAAAGCAAGCAGGTAAGATTATGCATACAATATTGAAACAATATTTGCATTTTACTAAAGCGCTCTTTAATTATACTAACAATAGAGTAATTAAACCCACAGATTTTAGCTAGCTACCCAGAGAGAGGCAGGTCTGGTTTTAGACATCTTCCAGAGAAACCTGGGAATCCCAGCTGGAGCTGGTAGTTCTTCTTCATGCTTACTTCTAAAGCTTTCTGAGCCACTTCTGAATCTGATTTTCCGTAGCATTGAAACCATTATTGTAATCTCCAAACAGTACTCAAATCCTTCTGAGTCTGCAAAGAGCCCTTATCAGGAAGCATCTTGTGCAACTAAGACAAGATGACAGCCAAGTGAATCTTTAATATATATTTAGACCCCAAATTAAATGCAAAATATTAAATGCAGTGCTAATAAAAGACACAACTGAATTTTGATTTTGTCAGTGCTGAAATCTTCACCCTTTCTTCAGTGATGGCAATAACTAGTTCTGAACAAGCCCATCTTGAAGGCACAGCATGCCCATCACCCAACGACAGGTTTATTTTAAATTGATGGCTAATAGACATCCAGACAGAAAGAACTGAAGCGATATCCCAGAAACATACCATATTTTCAGTTCTGTATTTTGCAGCTGGAGTCTGGCTTCGTGCCTGAAGTTTAGAAACCTTATCCTTGCAGATAGGCATCTGGTTTGACCGGAGTTAAGAGGCCACCTTAGTATTAAAGGTTCACAATGGAGCAAGGGCATAGACCAGGTTCAAGTAGCTTAAGAGCTGCTCCAATTAAACCTGAATTGTTTAATCAAGACCGGTTATTTTCCTGTTGACATGGTCTGCAGTGAAGAAAAGATACCCACTAAGGTTTGATATTGCACTGGGCAATTACAGGAGACTAGTAAAATTCTGATCACCAACACAGCTCAGAGTAATGAGTTTCTGGTGCACGTTTCCCCGCTGATACGCAGCAACACTGAAGATTGTGTCAAACGACAATATTCACAGTCAAAGAAAGCTTTTACAAAAGATAATCTCTTCATTAACCAACTGAGCAAAGAACCCAGGAGCTTCTTGCAGTTCTTCAGCCCTTCACCTTAACCAGACCTCATGTGCCATCATTGTGCTAAGTTTACCCCAGAAGTGACCGAACGCTTGGTGTAGCACGCTCTCAGTTGCAAGGTTTCTAAAGCTGGTGGTTATGGTGTCCCTGCAAGGAGAAAGCAGGGAACACCACGCGGGAGGGCAACTTCGAAGAGCCCCTCGCTGTTGAACTGTGTCAGTCAGGGTTTCACGCGCTGGAAGCTTTACCGCTCGCTGCTGTACCTCATCCTGGCAATTAAGCAGAGGCTCATTTTGGCCTGTGCCCCGCTCAGAACAGGAGTTACTGCAGAAGATAAACTTTACTATCTTTATTGTAACACAGGGTGTCTAGAGCCACTTCATGCTCTCTGAACCAGTGAGCATGTCTTTTGGTGAGCAAAAAGACATGCTCGATATTCAGTATCCAGTTAATTATTACTCTCATTTGCCAGGCTTGTACAACCTCAGCATTTGAGTCTGTTTGCAGCTTACAAAGACACTGCTTCAAGTTGCACGCAGTTGTAACTCTAACTTCCACATCCCGGCTGAACTGCTGGTGAGTGAGAACCAAGCCTTCCAGCCGGATGGGGAACCGCACGTCACAGCTCCCAACCATATTCTGGATCTTAAAGTCGAGGAACTTGGCAGGGAACCCAAGCTTCTGCACCACACGCGCGTACTTCCTGGCTGCGAGCCGTGATTGCTCTTCACTGAAGGAAGAGCAGAAGGGGAAAGCAGCTTTGATTAGTGCTTTCTTCTGCTCTCAAGCTGGAAGTCAGTTTAGAGCCACCACCGTGCTAATCTGTCCTCCAGAAAAAGATATGCTACTGCTTAAAATAGCAAGCCTCTATCCCCAGAGCCACTTCAGGGAGCTAAAAGGGAAGAGGCATGTTGTCATTCCCTTTCCTGTGGTCTATTTGAGCACAGTGGGGCACGTTGCATCACCCAGGAGTTCCCCTCTTCAGAGGTTTCTTTCTCAGTTCCTTACAGCAGCTTCTCAGAGCTGATCCAAAGGGAGACTGCAGACACCAGTACAATCATCTAGCTAGCTGGGAAGGTGGCAGGGGTTGGAGAAGAGGTCTCCTAAGCTGCAACTTAATGCATTATCTCATTGACAGCTTAGGGACATTAAAAAAAATCAAGGCAGCTGCTGAACTTGACGAAAAGAGCTTCAAAGTACAGAAATAACCTTTGCTTTTCTCCAATTCTCATTTTCTCTAGAGGCAGATGTGTTGACTGGTGAACCCAGACACTGAAGAGAGACTTGACAGACACAAGTTATGTCCTAATTCACTTTAAAGTCGGCGAGAAATGCAAATAACCCCTTAAAAATTCCTGGGCATTTTAGCAGCTTTTCTGCTAGTGTCTGCTCAGCTCAATCTATATTCAGGGCCAGAAGCACACAGTTCAGTAATTACTAAACTGCCATCGTGAAGAAAGCTAGACATTTTTCAATACCAGTGCTTCATTTTTTTCTTGCAATTATGACAGTCCTTTGCTAGATAATTTAAACAAGGTTTTCTGACATTTTTCATCAGAATATAGGCATAGCTGCAAGACCCAGACCTTTAGAGGGAAGGAAAAACAAAAAATACCTTTTTGCTCCTGTGCAGACCATTTTTCCTGAACTGAAGATGAGGGCTGTTGTTCGTGGTTCCCTGATTCTCATGATCACAGCAGCAAACCTCTACAAATCCAAAGGAAGACCTCACAGTCCAGCTGAGAGATTTTGGCAGTACTGTATTTCTGTTCATTCTATCAAGAATTGTCACTTTCAAAGCTCAACACAGCATGCATTTGCTTTGTGCTAAGTGTTTATTTACCACCCTGAAGTTATTTTCCACCCCTATAGGACCAGGGGGCTTAAGACTGTAGTCACAGGACCGCTGCCTCATCCCTTACAGTTTGTTGAACAGTCCAGAGTCACTTGCAGAAACCCAGTCTGTTCTCAGTAAGTTTCTGCAGTCCAGGCCACTTGCTAAAAGTATCATGTAATACCAGTTCGACTCTAGTAATTCTCTTTAATTCAGTTTTAACCCCACCAGTAAAGGCTGCTGGAGCCCTTTCAGCTGGAGGTAGCTGGCCACAGGTGGAAGAGTTCATCTCCTTTCTTAAACAGCTTGGTAACATCTCATTGCTAGGGCTTTATTCAAAGAAAACAAAAAGTCTCCTTGTGGCCCCCTGTATTTCTTTTAACTTAACAGGCTCAAGTTACAGAATTTTATGACTTTCTCTTATGGATCAAGACAGTACTATGAGAAAAGGGACAAAGCTCATGGTGAATCTGTATGTTAGAATCCAGCAGCACTGAGAAAGGGGAGTGAGAGGGTAAAGCTTAAGAGTCCTTAAGATTTACCTTTGGGTTATACTCTGCATTTCTGGCATGCAGAGCTATGTTCTTCAGATCTAGTTTACAAGCCAAGTTTACAGTTGACACTATATTCCTGAGGAATGAGAGAGGAATTTTCTTATTGCAAAAGCAAGTCACTGCAGAGCCAACCCCCAACATTATTAACTTAATGTGAAGTCACACTCCAATTAATAATTGCCATCAACTGATTTCCTGCCTGCCTCTTTCCCACTCTAGCATTAAGCTACTTTTGGCAAAACTTAAGTAATTCAATACCAAAATTACAGTTTCTGAAATATAACAAGGTACGAAATTATTAGTCCCTGAATACTAAGTTTGTGAGTCTTCCAATAACTACATCACTGAAGTCTTTTACAGCTTTGAATTGAACCATTACCAAGTGTTTACAGAGTTACCACAGCACTCTTCAGGTAGGTAAGGGTATGTTATTCTCTACAGGTATAAACTACTCCATAGTTGCTCTAGCCTAGGCAGGACAGGATCTTTTAACGAGGCCAGAATTTCTCACACTTCTTTTTGTGCCCCTTTCCCTTGCTCGGTTCATGCTGTTGGTCTGCTTTTCTGAGTGCAGCATCTTTAAACCCCTGGAGTGTGCTGTCACCCTTAACATTCTCCTTGCTGGAAGAAATCCTCCTTTTCAAGTATTATTTATCTTCTCATTCTGCAGACTGAAGTAACTAGCAGTACATGCTATATATAAATAATTTGTACCGAACCTGCCGTTGAGAGACTTCATCTCCTGTCTCCCAGAAGAGACTTTCCCCCTTAACAAGCCAGAAGCATTTCAGATACTCGCCCAGCCCGTTTATCAAGTCCACTCTCCCCTGTTTGGCTAAGCTGGGTATTGTTCTGTGCCAGTTTTGTATTGCACTGATCAGCACAGGATCCAGTTGCCTTCCAGTATTGTCAGTTCATTTGCTCCACTTCTCCTCAAAGAGGAATAATTGCCCCTCTGGTTTTTTGGGTGGGCTTATTTAAGACCAAACGACACTTGCTACATTCTCTGAGTGAGAAGTCAGAGCAGCACCTTGCAGTGTAAGTGAAACTACGACTATTATATAGGCTATGTATATAATACATAGGTAAACTTACTGTAACTGAGGAACTATGCCAGAGCTTTCCGATGCAGGTGTCACTGGGGTCATAGGCGTCATTGGTGTCAGAGGAGGACAGATGCCAGATGCTTCAGGAGATGGCTGAGTTGCATCTGGATATGACAAGCTGCTTTCAGCCACAAAGATACCGCTGTCCTCATTTCTTGATATTGCCCCATCAAGCTCTTTTTGCATTGCGTGACCATCTTCAGATAGATTTTGTTCTTTGTTATCTTGGGTAATGTCTGGAAGAAAGCTGAGGTCCACAGCGGAGAAGTCTGTTGGAAGCTCTTTGGGCTGATTAAATTGAGAACCGAACAAGACATCTTCAGTTGTTTGAATTGGAAGGTCTACATCGTAAGGGCTCATGGGAGCAAACAGCTGAGGACTAGTTGAGAGGTCATCCTTGAATTAAGAAAAAGTGTCATTAAGAATCTTCTATTAAAACATTAACTGGGAGACTAAATTAAGATTAATCTTCTACTCAACGAAGAAGTCGAAATAACTTTCCCCCTTACGTATTATAGCAAAAGAATAACCTCAAGATTTGAAAGCATGTTGTTTGCTTGCCTATCAGCATATAAAAATCCAGGTAACTCCTATGGCGGAGATATGCATTTTCCCCACCATGCTTCAAAGGCAGTCTAGGGTACTCCTGGAATACCACAAGTTGCAAAATACTGTATACCTTCAGCAGTGACTGGAGGAACAACCAGGGCTTTTGCCCTTCACAGCCATTGTCGTACTCAGGTATGCACATTACCAACATAATTGCTCATCAGTTTTTCCAAGGAAGACAGCTGGCATTTCTTTCCCCTCCCTGCTAACAGGGGACAGTGTCAGTGTTGTGTTGGATTTGTGCAACAGAGGGCAGCAGCTCACAGAATCACGAGCAGTTCATTCTTGCAGCTGCTGGAGGTCACCAGACTAATTTAAGTGAGACACAGCCAGCAAAGCCAGCTTTCCTTCCCAGATCAAGCATGCAACATATCTGCAAGCAAGTTCTTGCATACTAATGTCCTTCTTTATCAGCTATTTATTATTAAAAGCTATTTAAAAGGCATCATAATATTGAAGAGGCAAGAGTTTAGAAAGGATTTACTCCCTTATCCATTAGGGCATAAGCCTCTAGTTAGTGGAAAGCTTCTTCCAAGAAGGTGGTTTCTGCCAATACCCAGAGCAGGTGACAGCTGTATGATGATCCATACAAGAGGGTTTGTGTGCATTTAAACATTTTTGGGCTCGAGAGCTAAAAGGACTTGAAAAGTCCAAGCACAAATCAGAACAGGGAACGGTGCAGAAGACAGAGGCCCTAGAGTTGGCAGCAACCACCTGCGCTCCAGCGGGAGCAGGGTTTCCAGATCAATGCTTTTCAGCCCTGAGCGAGCGCTGCTCCGTGTTCTGTGCTAATCAGCTCACTCAGCAACGCAGCCGTGCGCACTGGGAGAGCTCTGCTCCTGCTTTGCAGTATAGTTGCCTGTAGACCACTTGGAAAACTCTTACTAAGTGACAAACCCTCCCAGAGAACCCTTACTAGCTTGAATACAGACGTGATCAGGTATAGCTCTGAAAGCGTCATGAACACCGAGGTTCAACACTATTTCTAAAACTGACTTCTAGATGCAGAGCCTCACATGAGATCATTCAGGGCAGAACGCTGCTGAATAAGACTGGGTACTCCTTAACCCCTCGGCTCTTCGGAAAACTGGATCCAAGAGCAGTATCTGGCAATTAAGAGGTCAGATACAAACGTATTAACAGTTGCAAATAACAACGTACTATGGAATAGCTAAAATACCTCTGTTTGAAATAGATATTTTGCAAGTTGGCAACAGGGGAAGGAAGGCAGAGTCTCTGCAAGACCTCTGGTGGACTGCACAGGAGCTAATAGGAAAGTTTTGCATGAACCGTGACGCAGAGAAGATGGTACCAAAAAAGCCTTATCACTGCGAGCCTGTAGGACTACTCACACATCATACTAAGAGGCATCAGAGAATGTGAGAAATAATAGTAAAAAAAAAAATATATATGTAAAGCAGACAGTTTGTAGCATAGCTTAAAGAAAGAAGCTGATGGAGAAGTGAGTGGTATATAAGGCTGAAAGCATTAAACAGCTGAAAAACAAACTGAGAAAAGCAACAGAAAGTAAACTGCATAAAGTAGATAGGAAGATTTGCCTTCTGTTTCTCTCTCATCAGGTTTGCATAGAACTGCTCTGGGAAAAAGCCCGTATAGGGTTAAGTGGTGGGGAAGATTGCCTTCTTGTTAGACAGATGCTCAGAGGCTGTGAAAGGGGGCACAAGACCATGTTTATATTGGGCTGGCTGCCAAGGATTATTGCTATAGTCTCTGGGTTAATTACCTTCACTGAAGGCCCCATCAACTGCATAGCTTTGGACATCTCCCAGCAGCTCCAGGAAGGAGGTTTCGTACATAGATCCTGCCTGAGATCACCCAGTTTGGGGCAGCTTGGGGGGAAACAGCCATTTTCCCTTCCACTGCAGGAATCCCTGCAGCCCAGGTACACATAAATCAAATCCAGCTGCTTTAAGCAACAGACTTGGATTTTCTTTGGTTTTTTTTTTTCTTTCTGCAGTGGTCTCTCACACATCTGCTGTGATCAAGTATCCCAGCAAGTCTGAAATACAAAAAGCTCAGTAGCACTTGTAAAACCCTGGTTATACCTCACCGCATTCTATACTTCATAGGGCCATATTCAGAGGGCTTTACTGACTGCCACTAGGAGGTCTCTGGGTTTAAACAGGCTGTGCTAAAACCATTTTCTGAGCTGAAAAGCAGTTTACACCAGGATGCAAGTAAAGAAGTTGTGTTCCCTGGGTGAAGACGATGCTCAGCTGTGGAGCCCAGCCCTCTCCTAGTCCCTCACCCTGTTGTCTCTGCAACCACCCGAGACCAGGAGGACTATTCTAAATACCAAAAAGAGGTGTTTTTGCAAATGTTTACCAACCACCATGAAGAGACCCGAGCCTCCTGCCCCCTCAGCACCAACGCACCCCAGTACACAGGCTGGCCCTAACACCACTCCACAGCAAGAGTTTAAACACAGCAGCATTCCTCCTGCAGCAGATGAGAGCCCCTCCAGGGCTCCTCCATGCTCCCAGCAGCTCTACACCGTCACGACCCACCACTCCCCTACTCAGGGCTGGGCCGAAGATGGCGGCCAGGCCGGCGGGGCAGAGTCCCGCAGGGCGGGAGCGCTGCACTTGGGATGCGGGCGGTAAATCTCCTTCACCGCGGCGTTGGTGGTATAGTGGTGAGCATAGCTGCCTTCCAAGCAGTTGACCCGGGTTCGATTCCCGGCCAACGCAGAGGTTCTTTTTCTCTATTCATTTCTTTTTTCTCCCTTTTACCTGCCCGCCGCAGCGCTCCAGGTACCGCTCCAGCGGCGACGCGCCGTCCATGAGCCGCCGCCCCCGCCCGGGCCCCCCAACGCCCGCCCCCGGGGCCCGCGTTAACCGCTTTACCCCCGAGAGGCGGCACCGGGCGCAGGTGGGGCCGGTCGGGGAGCGGGGCCCAGCGCAGCTGCCCTCAAACACCCCAGCGCTGCCATCCCTTCCCCCTGTGATTTTTTTTTACCCCTTTGAGCCTTTCCCCTGCCCTCGGCAGGGCTGTCTGCAGGGGTTTGCTCCCTCCTGTGGAAAGGGCTAGAGAAATCGGGGTGCCCTCATATGCTCGAGCCCTGCAAATCCAACCTGCTCCCCTCCGCAGGGCCGAGGGTCAACGGGGAGTCAGAGCGGCTGCGACTTAGACCTTGCAAAGATAACGCACCTCCAGCTGGTGCTTTTTAGCGAGCAGGTGTAACGTGCCCTTGATTTCTCCCACCTGCCTCGTCAAGTGCAATAAGGCACCTCTGGTCCTGCAAGACGAGCTGCCTCCCTTATGGCTTTGAGAGGAGCCCCAGTCCAAAATGATAAACCTCAAACTCAAGGCGTTGCAATAAAATGGCCTATTCTCAGCTAGGCCAGCGTTGCTAACAGCGCTTAGGGAGAGGAAGCCATGACTCCTTGCTTTCTGCTGTGAGATTTGCTTGCAAATAGCTGGCAGAGCTGAAAAAACCCTTTAGAAGAAGATGTCAAAGCCCAGGCACGCAGCAGGTCTTTGGGAGGTGCCGCTAGGCTCTTCTTGCTGCCTCAGAGGTGTGAAGGGTTAGATTTGTACCCTCTATCCGCGGGGCAGAGCGTATGTGGCTGATGAGCATCCTTCCCTCCTCAGCACAGCCTGCTGGGCTGGTTTCGTGGTGCTACTGGGACTCATCTTGCCCCGGCGCTTGACAGGTGCCAAATCCCCCCGGCCCCAGAAAAATTCAGCCTCAAGCAGGTTGGTTTACATCGCACAGCCTGTCCTGGAGCACCCGGGAGGCAAGTTGAGCGGCAAAGCAAGGAGAAGACTCCCTGCGAGGTTGCACCTTGAATTACAGAGGCTGGTGGAGCTAGCTTGGACCAGTTCAAGATGGTTAAAACTAAAATGTCCCATTTAGGGCCGGCGGGTGATTGGGGGGTGGTTGCAGGCAGCTCCGTGGCCTCGGCTGCTTTTGCCAGCACAACAGGACGGGGTGCCAAGGGCTGTGGTAGGGCTCCTTCATGACAGCACGGGTCTGCGTTGCCCAGGGAAGTCATTAAATTCAACGCAGGAATTGCGCTGGATTTGTTTTGTCCTCGTGGTGATGTCCTGCAGGGACAGTAGATTGGCGCTCCCCCGGTGCGTGAATGCTGTTGCTGTGCTTAAGCTGGGAAGCCGGAGTTTTGTGGTGGTCATGGTGTTTCCCTGGTGTGGGCATAGCTGTAGCATTGCGGCCGTAGTACCTTGAGTTTCCTCAGCTAAATAATCCTTCGTTGCACTGCAGAACCCCCTGGAGATATGTTCATCCTGCAGCTCCTAGGGACTGATTTGTCTGCATTTTGTGAACCTGAGATGGAGAGGTCACACCACGGTGTTTAAGTGAGAAAGCTACATCAGAGACGAACATAAAATACAAACCTCTTGATATTGGTGTTGCTTCTTGGATAGGGGCATCCTGCAAATGGCACGGGCACCAGTGGGAAGCGATGTGGTTTTGGGTAAGTCATGGAGTTTGATGCCTCCTCTGTTAAATGGGTGTGAGATTGTTTACCCATCTTGGGGCGGAGAAGAAGGGAAGGTGTTTAGAAAGCTGAGAGATCATCAGAGGAGTCAAGGGTCATGCTGTGTGGGCGATCCAAGCTCTCGGGGTTGCTTTGACGCAGGGGAAGGGTCTCCTGGATGCTGCCCATGGGAGGGGAGGCACGGCTGTGCCGCAGGCGGGCTCTGTGGTCACAGCCTCCTTCTCAAGGCTGGGCCTCCGCTGGTGGTGGGAGGCTCAGCGAGTGGGGTGCCCAGTGAGGGGGAGCCCCGGAGAGCGGCGATCCAGCGAGCAGGAGGCACCCAGTCTCCCAGTCTCTGGGTTTCCCCTTAGGTATCAGAGGCATCGTCCTCCCTGCTGCGAGGCAGGTTCTTCCTTCCTTCTCCAGCAGGCGACTCTGACCCCTGTCATCGATCAGACGTTAATTTAACATGTATCGCTTCGAACTCGTTGAGGCTTTTCTAATCATCCAGGTCAAATAACATTAGAAAGGGCAACTATTTTTCCCATCCCAACTTAAAAAAGATTACTTTTGTCTCAAGCTGCTGTATTTTTTTTATTTTTTTCCCTCCTTTTTTTTTTTCTTTTTTTCTTCCCTTTGGAAAGCAGCAGCCGCCCGGCGCCAGGCCGAGGTGACTCAGGAGCAGGAGTGCTCGGAGCAGGGAAGGAGCTGCGCTCCCTCCCGCACGCCGCAGGCAGCCATTACACACGTCCCCGAGCAGCGGGAGCCGGTTACGGGGCGATGAATCATCCGAAGTGCCTAGTTACAGTAATGATGAATTGTCATGAGTCTTAATTAGCAAATTGGTTAATTTTACTTAGAAAGTTGATGATTAGTACAACAATAAGTGCTTTGTGCATTCATTGTAACAGTCATTCAATATTGTTCTTCCTTGGATAACTAATTGGAGGAGACTATGCCACAGAGCTTGTCCTAGCATTTCTGTATTGGGCTCAAACATTTCTGTAGCAGACATTCCCGCGTTACCTGGATGCTGTAATCTGGTTATGGGACAGGACTAATTACAGGAGACTTCCAAAAACCTGGAAGCGACAAGGAGCAAGTCAGTAAGGAAGCTCTACCTGTTTTATTCTTTGTTGCTCTCTACAGCTGCCTCGTATTCTAGCACGCCAATGCTTCGCTGCTTGCTTTGAAGTTGCTTAATCTGGTTTGGCTTTATCTTATCTTTTTCAGGAGCTAGTTTGGGAATTCAAAGCTCGTGACTGACAACGTTCTGCTTTCTGCTCTCCTGAGCTTTATGCTAAACTTTTATAGCTGTAATTGTAGCTTGTCTCAGGCATAGCTTGCTTCTCCTGGTGCCCTCAGTGCCTGAATCGTTACAGCCCTGCCTTTGGAGGAGGTAGAAGAGCAACTGAGTGCAGGATTGTGTTCCAAGAAAAGAGCACTATGTTATGCACAAGATGTCTCTGAATGCAGCACCTTCCAATGACCCCAGGACTCTACGCTTCTCTATCAACAGCAGAATCCTAGTCTTGTCGTGTACGTGATTCCTTCTGTTTGGTTTAGCTCTGTTTTGGTCCCTGAGCCTTGATTTCCTTTTTGCCAGGGATGTAAGCAGAGTGAGGTGCTGCGGAGGAGCCCAAAGAGGGGTCAGAGAGAGGAACAGGCGAGTTGCAGCGAGGTCGGCGGGCTCTGCGGGAGCGAAGGACCTGCATGGAGCTGGCAAGGCTCTCGAGAAGCAGCTGCAGCCCAAAAGGCAACGCGGAGGTAGATGCTGGAGTGCCTTCGGTCTGACAAGTGTCACCATTGCTCTTTCTTACTTACTTGTCCCGTAATACTCCATTCTAGACCTGATCAACACTCGCCAGTGTCAGTAGATACTGGATCTATTGGCAGGGAAGGAAAGAAACCACCATGACTATTCACTGAGCAATAGTGAGTAATTTGACTTTTAATTGTGAATTATTAAGTGTATCATCATTAGTTTATGCTGGTGTAAATACGAACAGAATCACGTCCATTAGATTTGGTATTTGGTTCTAACTTGCTCCTGTGTAAATCAGGAATAACCCTCTTACAGAAGTGAGGCTACAACGCTTTGAAATTGGGTCAGAATCGAGTTTAATTTTCCAGGTTTGCTGGGTGATGGGAAGGAGGGCTGTACCTTCCCATTTACCCGCTAGTGCCATGTGTCCCTCCCTGCATCGGACAGCGCAGCCCGGGTCGCACAGTGCTAAAGCTGCCCATTCCTTGTCCCAGTAAAACTGGGGCTCTCTTATTGCCTGAAAAGGACAGTAACGGGGGATTTGGTACCCTTACAAGCGTTAGTGGACTCTCAGCATTTGCCCTCTAATGCATGCGCTTTCCATGCTGGCGGGCAGAGACCAGCGTGAGGTCAATGCTCGGCGTGCATTGGCTTCTGGACCAGGAAAGAAAGTCACTTCTGTCAGATGGAAAAGGGGTAAACTGGCTAGAAAAGAGCCATTTTTTTCTGGCTTCTACAGCACTATTATGTGGAATGAAGACACTGACTGCCCCCATGTCAGGGAATTGCTGAGAACCAGACCCAGAGAGGATTGCCAAATCCGCCACTGAATGCCAGAGGAAGCACTGTAAGTAAAAGCCATCTGTCTCAACTGAAAGGCTGAATGGTGGCTTTAAAACTATACAGTTAACTTCATTTAATTTTCCTATCTGTGCAAAGCAACAAACTGATTAAACGAAGGCATTCCGTATATTGTTTGCATAGAAATTCACTCGTCCTGGCCCAGCCATGCTCTTGAGCCTTGTACTGCGGTGTGGGGGAGAGCACATTGGTCTATTTTTATTTTTCATTCTGCATTGCATTTAAAATAGGGCCAGAAAAGGGGGGTGGGTGGGTTAAACATTGGCTGCCACCTTAATTGCAACCTAGCAATTAATGGCTAGAGGCTTTCTTGGACAGCTCCTCCCTGAATGTCACACAGAAATATATCTGACACCTGGGCTCAGAAGTATTCTTCCGTGCTTTTTGTTAAGTCATCTTTCTAATTTTTGTGTCAAATGGTCTGTCTAAATTGAATTGCATTTAAATGAGGTGAGTGCGCGATGGATCATCTGACTGCTGCTGTTTCCCTCCAAGTTTTGTGACAAATGGCTCTAACGCAAACACCGTGTCTCATACCTTGAACTTACTGCTGCAATTAAATACTGATACTTTAAGCCTTATCTGGAAAAAACCAATATAGTAGTAGCACTCGTGTGTGTTTGCACAGAAAAGCAGAGGGGTGTGCATATAGCAGCTGCTAACAGACCTCTATGAATTTAGTTTGCAGGGGTCGCAGTAACATTGAAGACATGAG